TTATGGGAACTCCTTTGTAGGTAACTGTCTCCATTTCTCTTGCTGCTTTTAAGATTCTCTCCTTAACTTTAATCTCAGGTAATGTAATTATGATGTGTCTTGCTGTGTGCTTCCTTGGGTCCAACTTTCTTGGGACTCTCTGAACTTCCTGGACTTCCTGGAAGTCTGTTTCCTTTTCCTGGTTGGGGAAGTTCTCCTTCATTATTTGCTCAAAATAAGTTTTCAATTTCTTGCTCTTCCTCTTCTTCTTCTGTCATCCCCATGATTCAAATTTTGGAATGTTTGAAGTTGTCCCCGAGGTTCCTAAGTCTCTCCTCATTTTTTTGAATTCTTGTTTCTTCATTTTGTTATGATTGAATGTTTATTTTTTCCTTCTGCTCCAAAACATTGATTTGAGTCTTGGTTTCCTTCCCTTCACTGTTGGTTCCCTGTATATTTTTTATATTTCACTTTGCATAGCCTTCACTTTTCCTGTATTTTGCAACCATACTCAACCATTTCTGTGAGCATCCTGATTACCAGTGGTTTGAACACTACATCCGATAGGTTGGCTAAAATTATGAACAGTAAAATAACAACAGACTCACAACTATCAACAACTCAATCTAAAAAACAAAAACTAAGCAAACAACTAGAGCAGGAACAGAATCACAGACATGTAGATCACATGGAGGGTTATCAGTGGGGAGGGGGAGGGGAGAGAATGGGGGAAAAGGTACAGGGAACAAGAAGCATAAATGGTAGGTACAAAATAAGCAGGGGTAGGTTAAGAATAGTATAGGAAATGGAGAAGCTAAAGAAGTTATATGCGTGACCCATGGACATGAACTAAAATGTGGGGAATACTGGCAAGAAGGTAGGTACAGGATGGAGGGGAATAAAGGGGAGAAAAAAATGAGATAACTGTAATAGTATAACCAATAAAATATACTTTAAAAAAGATGAGATGATGCAAACAGAGCGATAGGAAGCTAAGAGGAGGAAGGAAAGATAGCCTACCTTGAGGTGAGAGGACACATTGTTTGCCAAGTGGAGAGTTGAAAGGAGCCTGGTCCTGGCTGGTGTGTCTCCATTGGTTGGAGTATATCCAGTAAACCAATAGGTTGCAGGTTCGATTTCCAGTCAGGGCATGTATCTAGGTTTCAGTTCAGTCCCCGGTCAAGGTGTGTATGAGAGGCAACCAATTTGTGTTTCTCTCTTGTACTGATGTTTCTCTCTCTCTCTCTTCCTCTCTCTGTAAGCATGTCCTTGGATGAGGATAAAAAAAAAAAAAAGAGGCAGCCTGGCAGCTGGAGAGGAATCTGGAACAGTTGGGTGGTGACTGTTTAGGGAACAGGCAGCAGCGAGAGTGTGAGACAATCAGAACTGCAGAGTAGCAGTGAGGACCCAGCTGACTTGCATTGGCCTTTAGTTTTAAGTGAGCATCTATTTATGTGGTACCACCAGGCGATACAGGCACAATAAAAGATATAGATAAGAATGAGACTTAATTGCTGTTCCTGAAGTTTGTGGTTTCACTGTGGTCTGTAGCCCCAACCTGAACTGATAATGGACTAAATTCCCACATTTTGTTCTCACCTGCTCCCATCATGAGTTATCTGTACTATTACTTGTCCAGTGGTTTTCTTTAAATTATTTCATTTTATGTATAGGTTTGGGCAAAAGTAGGTTTACAACTGTGAGTACATGAAACACAGACTTTATTCTTTATTATTATTTAGTATTTATTATTTTATTATTTCCCATATGAACAACTGTAAACCTATTTTTGACCCACCCTGCATAAAAATAGAAAAATGGCCCTGGATTGTGTAGCTCAGTGGTTTGAGCGCGGCCCTGCAACCCAGAGTATCGCAGTTCAATTCCCAGTCAGGGCACATGCCTGGGTTGCAGGCCAGTTCCCAGCAGGGGACACACAAGAGGCAACCATACATTGATGTTTCTGTCCATCTCTCCTTCCCTTCCCCTCTAAAGATAAATAAATAAAATATTTTAAAAAATAGAAAAATGAACAGATTTTTTTGCACTGTTATATTGTGTTTTTTTCAAATATGCATTTTTAAAACATACAAAAACACTACTTGACATTTTGCCAAAAGTTTATCCCCATTCCCCCTAAAATAACTTTGTATGTCACAAGTAGAACGCATGTCACATCTTGGAACTGGTTACTTACAGAGTTCTTTAGGTCATGCAAAGCAAGAATTTTCCATGTTAGAATAAGTGGATATGACCTTGATATATACATATATTTTTTATTCAGGCAGGTTGCTTCTATAGGTTGGTCTGAATAAAATAGATAAAAAGCAAGCACCTTTTTGTTTGATGCTATTTGAATACCAAGAAGTTTGGAGCTTGACTGCAGAGCCTTCCAAATTAATCTGGTAGGGAAAGAAACTCGAATGCTGTCAGGTAACAGATTTGTCAGCTGCCCTGCTTATACTTTTCATATAAAACAGAAAGGTTGGCAGATTATAGATAAAAGGTCAGTTCAGCAAAAAAAAAAAGAATATATGTCAGATAGTCTCATAACATAGGTAGCAGAGAATGGACGTTGAGACTACTATTGGATTCCCAGAAAGAGATGAGTTTGTGGGCACCGTGTAAATCTCATGACTGTGTCTGCGGCTGTTCATTTTGGTGGCTACTCCTTTATGTCCAGTTTCCCAATATGATTTAAAAGACACCAAGGAGTCCTGTCTTCCTGAGGAAGATTTACTTTGCAGCAGTTTTACTTTCTTTTTTTCTTTGCAGCAGTTTTACTTTTTTTTTTCAAAGGGTTCTGAAGGGCAAACATGTACTTCCTGCTGTCTTGTCTCCCAGTCTCACCCGTGCCATCTCTGAACCAAAGCTCTAAAGTGGGAAAAGCGAGAAGCTAAGCCCTTTTGCAAGAGCAATGGTGCATAAAGAAAGGGTTTACAGTGAGTCCATCATCATGAATGATTAAAGGGGAACCAGGCAGCTACCGCGTGAGTTGTACAAATAGAGTAGCTCGAAGATTCAGGCCAATAGGACCTGTGTTGGAGCAAATTACTGTCCAGGAAAACAGTCCAACCTTGGGAATGCAGGTGAACGGGGGTGTGGTGTTAGGCCGGTGGGGTCACAGAACCATGATATTAGATGCCAGTGGGCATCTCACAGATTTCCAGCATGTGCAGTGCTTGGAATTTGCAGCTTGTTAATACATCTTTCAGCTGTATTTTAAGTGCAAGGAATTGTGCAGAATATATTCATTCTATCCAAGTAGCTTGCTGTATGCATTGCACTTCTTATTGCTTTATGCTAATGCAGGTTATAAACTCACACAAACATGTACTTGAGAGAGGCTTCCTCCTTTTGTCCATGAGCTGTCCCCCTGGCAAATAACTGAGGCCAAAGGCATGTCACAGCATCGTAGGCTAGTAGTCAAGGATACCCACTGACACTTGGCCACAGTGTTTTCAGTTTCATCTTTACACAGTGTTTTTTTTCTGACTGCTTTCATCTCTCTCTTTATTCTCCCCATTAACCCACGAGCTATATATGCACTTTTATTACTGTGAGAAACATAAAAAAGTGGAAGCTAAAGAAAAACCAGTAGCATTCCAAAGCATATCCTGGCAATCTTAAAAATTGCTTCAATATTAGCAGATACGTTTGCATTGTGCTGCTGGGATTATTGGGGGCTGCACAATGTAATTGCTACCGTTCGCATTGCTGGAATGCAGGTGGACCCATGACAAAGTTTGCTCCCCACCCTAAAAATAAATATAACTCTCTTCCCCACTAAGCCTCACTAATTAAATCATTGACTCAGGCTTGCTGGTAAGGACCAATTCTTTACAACAAGTGTATCCAATTTCCTGCTAGTGGTAACTTTCATTCTTCCTGGAATCGCAGGAAACATTAATTTTTCGTTGGACCCAGGAGTCTCAGGAAGCTGGAATTATAGGCATTATTGTCCCACCCTTTTTCCTTTCAAAATGAAATGAAATGAAATGAAATGAGCAGCAGCCCAGTGGTGAGGCTTGAGGGATGGGTAATGACAACGAATAGAAAGGGCATTAATTTCAGAGTGGGGACAGCTGCCCAACACTATCTCCCTTTGGATTTTGGTTCTTACAGCATCACGGTGAGTTATTAATATGTATGATCCGTACTTTATTCAAACATTATAAATCTATGCAGAAGTCTGGTGTTTGGGTTTTTCTTTATAGCTTTCATTCTTCTTCCCAGAATTATCTCATTTCGATCGGGAAACTTTTGCATAAAAAGCACACACCGAGAGCTCACATTTCCATACCATAAATATTAAAAGGGGGTTAAGCTTTACACTTTCTTCTCCCATCCCCAATGGGTGGAAAGTTAGCCTTCAAATGCAGGGGGAGGCATAATGAATGTTCTTTTTACCCCCAAGCCAAAATATAAACTTTGACTTACCATATGGAATTGTACTATTTTACTTACGTAAATTGTGGTATGCTTGGCTGTACCACGTCTTTTCTACTAAAAATCTAGCAGTCATCTGAATTGTTAAGAGTAGTTGGCTTGCTTATTTATTTATTAAAGTAGAGTTGACATACAGTTTATGTTAGTTTCAGGTATGAAACTAACAACAGAGCGATTCTACGTTTATATGCCTAACGATGTCATCTGCTTGTTTTTTGAGGACCGAACCAAGTTTAGACCCTTTTTTTCTTTTTTGAGGACTGTGATTACAGTGCTTTTTGCTGAATTCATCACAGTGAATCTGTAGCATACAGAAGAGGGAAATGGAACCAGAAAACTTAATGTCTTCTTAGTAGCTTTTTGGGTTCTTAGCAGCTTCCTATCTCTCGTTTATTGTCATTTTTGTTAGCATAAAGGAGTAGTCATAAATTTTGGTTCCCATGGAAATATGATGGAATGCACGAGCTATTTCATTTGGGTATACCGTCTGTTAATCACGCAGTCTCGGCTGTTGTACTTCATGATGGGAAATGAACGTGCTAATTGGTGCTCTTTTTTTTTTCTTATTTCAGGAAACCTGCCATATGAATATAAAATAGTGATTGCTGGGAACCATGAACTGACATTTGATAAGGAATTCATGGCAGACCTTGTTAAACAGGACTACTACCGTTTCCCCTCTGTGTCCAAATTGAAACCAGAGGACTTTGACAACGTTCAGTCCCTCCTGACAAACAGCATTTACTTACAAGACTCGGAGGTAACTGTGAAGGGATTCAGGATATACGGGGCACCTTGGTAAGTGTCTGTGCGAACAGTCTCGTCCTGTGTGTGTGTGTGTCCCCATCACCGCTCAGCACTCGGAAAGCCTGCTGCAGACGGGGGTGCTTTGAAGGAAAAGGATAAGCTGGAATGAATCCTTTTTGCTGTATTTCTGACAACACAAAGTCTGGCCCTGCTGCGAAGGGCTTGTGCTGGTTGTTTTCATTGTGATTGCAGAGGTCTTTAGGCAAGATCCATGGAGCAGGGGTTGGGTGATATGGGTGTGGGTGGGGCTTCATGTGTGTCTGTTGGACACAGAAGGATTTGGGGGAAGGGCACCACCGTTCCTCTTCACACAGGTTCCAGGGCTCTAGACGTTCCCTCGCCTTAGGCTACTCATTTCCCTCTCAGTGTATACTGGAAGCACTCAGACTTGCTTAGATGTAGGGTTTTCAAAACTTACTGCAGACGCAGAATCATTAACTCTGAAGAAATACAGATTTTTGAGGCCCTGCCAATCCAGGCTCTGATTCTCCTTCCTGAAGTGGAGCCCACTAATCTATATTTTTCAGAGCTCCCCAGAGGAGGCTGATGCCCAGATACTTTGGAAGTCATGGGTTAAGAGCGCAATACTAGAGTTCTCTGCACTGAGATTTACCAAACTTGAAGCAGGTGCATGTTCTCCGGGGCTAGACAAGAAGTATTTTGACCTTGGCTTCTGTCAGTTGTCTGGTTTTGAAGAAGCTGATTCACAAAGGTGGAGCCCCAGTTTCTGCATCCCGGAGCGGTGGAAATAATACATCCTTTAGAGGGTTATTATGAGGATTAAATTAAGTGACATTTGTCGTAAATTCAGAAAAGTACCTGGTGGTTTGCTTAGGATAATAATTTTCTGGCCTTGGATCAGCCACTAAGTAATTATGTGAACTTGAACCTTCAGAGCCATTTTTTTTTTATCTCCAAAGTGGGAGTGTTAGATCAGAAGGTCAGTGTTAAAGAAGTCTTGGGTTTTTATTATTTATTTACTTTTCGATGCTCTGTATGTCTCTAGAGCAGAAGAATTCACTTTGTACTTACCCAGCCTGGAGAGGTAGTGCAGTCCGCCCTAGGAGTTGCGGATGAAGGCTGGAATGGGAGAAAGTAAATTCAGGTCGGCCACCCCACTCAACAGTTTGGTTTGTCCTCTGCAGAATAGCAAGTTGAAATATTTCCTATTTCATCTGGCATCGGAAAGGACTGATGAGTGGATACAGGAAGTATGTCCACAAAAAAATCAACCTGACAATGATTGTGAACTCTTAGTTGAGTTCTTACTATATACGCCAGGCACTATCTATATCCAGGGTAGATAAAGGATATATCTATATCTATCCTTTATATTTCTATATAAAGGATAGATATATATGGATACAGATATATCTATCTATAGATATAGCCTTTATATCTATCATCTGGTTTATTTCAAATACCTTTAAGAGATGGGCACTATTCTGATTCTTATTTGGCCGATGAGAAAACCGAGGCACACAAAGGCTGAGTGATTGCTCAGGAATCACAGACTAAATGGTAGCATCCTAATTTGAGACTGACGACGGGGTTTGAGATGTGGCTGAGGTGGCGGTGGTCATTTGTGGTGATTGTCTGCAATGGACCTATCCAGCTTTAGTGACGTACATCAGTTCATTTTTTTTAATATGTGAGAAGATGGTAAAGGGAAAAGAGAATAAAGAGTAGAAATTAGTCTTATCAAATGACGAAGGAGCTCAGGGTGGTGTTGGAGGTCGATACTAGCATTTCTGGGTAGAGGGGAGTGGAGAGCTGCCTCAGATGTCCAGCGTGGTTCTTAACGACTGTCTAGTGGCTGAGGTATATGACCTCTGACTGGCAGAGAAGTTATGTGGAGTTACGATCATTTTTTCAATAACTTCAGATGATCTTTGAAAAATCTTCAAAGGGCACTGAAGATTGAAGGTTATTTCAGAGCAAACAGGATTTTCCGAGACCCCAGGGTTGGTAGTTGCTGAAATGCTGAGAGCCAACAAGCTTCCTCCGCTGTCGGAGCACATTCAAGCCTGTTTAGGGTGAGGTTTAGCTCAGTCAGACTATGGCCGTGATGAATGAGGGAGTGACTGGGGATCCCGGGGCAGAGCTTGCAGCATGTCAAGAAATGAAAAACAACAACAACAGAGTAATTCAAATCATGGATGGGATTTTTGATGGTGGTACAAACTCGGATAAACTTTATGTCTGAACTGGATTCATATCATGCAAAAATTTTATTTTAATATTGGAAAAAATAGTGAAGTCAAGAGAATAGACACTCTTAGCCACCTGAAATGTTTTCCTGAGGATGTTTTACACACAATTTATTGGGATTTCCAGAAAGTCTGAACTGCTTCCTACCTAGCATGTCCTTACAACGAGGGTGATCTTTGTGTGGAATTTGCCTCCCTCAGAGGAATTGTCGCTATTTGTCCTTTGCAGAGGTTGATGGTAAGAAAGTTTGTCTCATCCTGTATTTTGGAGGCATCAGTAATTTGGATCTTACGGTGAAGATAATTTGTTAAAATCTATATTCCCAGGACCGTTGAAAATCTGAACCTTGACTTGGGAATGCCTATGTGCTCATTTCCGTGCTAGGAGGACAGATTTCCCCAGATCTCCCACTTGTTCAGCCCTGGGACCTGGGGCGAGTTTCTGAACACCTCTGTGCTTCTGTTTTCTCATTTCTGAAGTGGGAGATAGCAACATCACGTCCCTCCCTCACGTGGTTGTCGGGAGGATAAATGAGTTAATGCGTCTGTCCATCCGTCCGTCCGCAGCACACAGAACACTCTGGCATCCAGGGAGCATTTGATAAGTGGTAACTGTTACCGATAGAGTGGGGTCGGTGTTTCCAGTCTACCTCGTACCTTTGCCCACTTCATCCGAAGGCCATTGCACTAGTCGTCAGAGAGGGTGGGTCCAGCCCTGGTTCAGCCTCGGCTGATTGGGTGACTTACTTAACTTCTCTATTGGTAAAAATGGGCAATGTCGGAATCTTGCGTTGGAATCTTGCGAGCATGCTCATGTTAGTATCTTATGTGATTTTTTAACCTCTTCCATTATGAAGAATTTAACTGGAAACTAAGTTACCATCTTTCTCCCTTTGGAAGTTAGGCTTTTCCATTCCTGAGTTTTGCTCAGAGGTGAATGACTGCCTGCTTAGTAACCTATTAGACAGGGCAACCCCCGAATAATTTAAACTGATGTGAGTTACGTGCTTTTCTAACGACTTTTTTGGAAGAAATACTAAATTCTGGTTTGCCGATAGTGCCAGTGGTGAAGGGCTAGGCTACTCCATGTGTGTTTATAACTTGTAGCACAGCTGAGAGCTTCCAGAAGATCAGGAAAAATGAAAGGAGTGTCTTTTGATTTACAGTTTAGCAGGAATTTGTCTCTTGATTTACAGTTTAACAGGAATTTGTATGTGGAAAGTGACTGACAACACTTCAGCGCGTTCATGTGTGTTTATAACTGACACGCATTGTGGTGCTTCTTCCGTCCCCGAGGAAGAGGGTTTGCATGTTGTTCGGCAGGTCTGGGGAAATTCAGGGGCCTGCCCTGAAGAAGGTGTAAGTGGGACGGCTTGTCCTGGGAGAAAGGTGCTCCCCTGGAAGGAGGACAGGGGCTGACACATTGCTGGGGATGCCCCTGCTGCAAGAGGTCCGACGGCCGGTTCTGTGGCTTCTTTACAGTCATTCCTCTGTACTCATCAGCTTCAGAACTCGTCAAACTCTGTACTTGTCACATTTGGGCAAGAAAAAAAAATGTTTCAGCACTCAGCGCTTGCTCAGGACTCACCCCACTTGTTGAAACTTTTATGAGTCACGACACTGCCCCACAAGAGAAAATGCTTTATTGTTCGGTACTCGTCGGTTCTGGAACGAATTAACCATGATTAACGAGGTACCACTGTATTTTTCTTCACCATTTCGTTATTCCAAAAATCCTAAAGAGAGAAATCAATCGAGCATGACGTGTTGTTATCTTTGGGAGTAGCAGTTCGGTCACACTTTCTTAATTTCTCCTATTATGCTTTTCTCTCCCTCTTTGGGGGAACAGGAGAAAAGGGTCTTGTGTTGTGAGGACAGTTATGTCTGCCTAAGACTTAGCTGTCACAACAGGAAAGCTGGTGGGTTTCTTGAATCCCTCGTGTTGATTCTCTGCTGCCAGGATGGTTCCTGATTTCCTCATCACACTCACTCAGCTCTGTAATGTCTTTTCCAAAGGCCGAGTGTGGTTAGGAACAGGAGACACCATTCGAATCTGTCAGATATTGGCCACTGTGGTGACTAACCAGTTGTCTGGCCAGGGTACAAAGGCAGTGGAATTTTCAAATATTGTTTGTGTTTTTGGTTACTGATCTGTGGAGCCAGCATCATAGTGCAAGCAGGGGTCTGTAAACTCACTCATGGGGCTTGACATTTACACATCAGCTAGCCCTTCTCCCCTGCCCCCAGTTTCAAGTGCTCTTTTGTTACTAAGATGCTGTATAGAAAAAACAATCGAGGTACTAACTGAGCAGCAGCCAGGCTGCAAAAAGTAAAGAGTCTATGTATCCGACCGGCGCAGAACAGTTGTGTGGCTTAGCCCACAGCCTGCACCTCGTTCGCCTCTTCAACAGAAATGCAGAGCTGGTCTCCCGTGGCTTTTAATGAATATGAGTGGGGCTTTCCGATGTGCAGGAATTTGATCTCTATGCTGACCAAGGGGTCAGGAACAAAGAGCACACTTTTTCATGTTAGAGTAGACCCAGGTGTAATTTGTCAGATTTAGTAACTGTGGAGGAAGTGCCTTAACTTCTGCAGCAGGAAAATTAGATCTGGAGCCTTGGCTGTGTAATTCTAAAACGGCTGAAATAGCAAGAGAGAGCCCCTCTGAGTTGCATTTTCAAAGGAAGTGTGAGCAGGATTTGTGTTTTTCTCCCTCCTCTCTTTTCCCCACGTCGGATCATAAACATGTTGAATTCATTCATTCATTTAGATGTAATTTTC